CATATGCCTTATATAAGGGCTTTCATTCTAGATCTTCTAATCTCCATTTTTTTCCGTTTCAAATCAAGTTTCCTTTATTCTCTATATATTCTTGCAAAACCGACAAGTCTGTTAGATTAGTTGCTCGGCCCTTATGTTGCCTAAGCCAATATGTTAATTCGTCCATATCCTTAATGTCTTTTATTTTTCCAATCCAGTCCATTTTGTTCGGTATGTTTTCCTGCTTCCACATCTTGGCATATATCATTCTTGCCGCAGTGGTGAAAAAAGTGAGGAGCTTTTCCTTATTTTCATCCTTAAGGAGATCAGAATCAAACATCCCTAATAAATAGAGTTCTGGCTGTAGGGGAAATTCTATTTGTAATATTTTTTTGCATTCTAGGTGGATCATTCTCCAATAGTTCTTAGCCTTTTCACATGACCACCACATGTGGTAAAAGGATCCCTCATGGTTTTTGCATTTCCAACAGTTTGTATTCATTTGTTTGTACATTAATCCTAATTTTTGTGGGGTCATATACCACCTATGCATCATTTTTAACCAGTTTTCTTGTAGGTCTGAGGCATATGTGTATTTTATCCTTTTCTCCCAAATTACTTCCCATTCTTTTAATAGTATCGATCTTCCGATATTTCTAGCCCAGTTAATCATTGAATCTTTTATCACCTCTTTTTCTGTGGCCCATTCCAATAATTTAGTGTATAACTTTGTAATCATTTTTCTTTCTGATTGTTGTATTTTTCCCCAAAAGTCCTCTTTATCTGTGAAGTGTCTTTTTTTATCAATATTATATGCTTCTTTAATTTGAGCGTACTGGAACCATGATATGTTTTTAAATTGAGAGGTAATGTCCTCTTGCCTTTTTAATTCGAATGAGTCCCCCTTTTTATAAAGTATATCACCGTATTTTGGCCAATGAGACCATCCCAGTAATCTCCTTTGTCTAGCCTCTAGAGGCGACACCCATAGAGGGGTTTTCTGGTAAAAGTGGTTTTTATATTTTCCCCATACTTTTAATAATGCTGAACGCACAAAATGGTTCCCAAAGTTTTTTTCCTTTTGGGCACCGTCATACCAAAGGTAATTGTGCCACCCTTGTCTCAAATCAAATCCTTCTAAAGATAAAATCTTAGGTTTTGTCAGAGTAGTCCAGTCCTTTATCCAAGTTAATGCCGCTGCCTCATAATATAATTTCATATCTGGAAGGCCAAAACCGCCTTTGTTCTTTGGAGTAATCATTGTTACAAATTTAATTCTTGGTTGTTTCTTCTTCCAAACAAATTTTGAGATGTCTTTAGTCCAATTTTTAAAATATTTATAGTTTCTAATTATAGGTAAATTTTGAAAAAGAAATAACATCTTAGGCAAAATATTCATCTTCACTGCCGCTATCCTTCCTAGCAACGATAGGTTTAATCTTTCCCAACTTTCCAATTCCTTTTTGATTTCCTTCCACTTACTTAAGTAATTATTTTCCAGGAGATGGAGGTTCCTTGCTGCTATCCACACTCCTAAATATTTAATCTTAGTTGCTATTTTAATTCCAGATTTATATTGGAGCTCTTTCTGTTTCTCTGAGGGGATATTTTTAGTCAGCATCATTGTTTTTGTCTTGTTTATTTTAAAACCTGCCACTTCTCCGTATCTTTCCAGTTTGTCAATCCATCTCTCAATATTGTCTCTGGGGTTCTCAATTATAGCTATCAAGTTGTCCGCATAGGCCCTGATCTTATACTCTTGTTTATCTATTTTTAGACCTCTCAAGGCTTTATCTTCTCTGATACTTCTCAACAATATTTCTAACGCAAAGATAAAGATCAGGGGAGACAGTGGACATCCCTGCCTCGCACCTTTTTCTATCTTTATTTCTTCCGTATTAGTGCCATTGATCCATAATTTGGCTTTTTGTTCATCCAGGATCGTTTCAATTGCATTTTGAAAGTGAAATCCAATATCTACTTCTTGGCATAGCGATTTGACAAAGTCCCACTTCATATTGTCAAACGCTTTCTCAGCATCTATCGCCAATAATGCTACCTCTTTTTGATGGTGGGATTCATAGTATTCTAAGGAATCTATAATTATTCTAACGTTATCTTTAATATTTCTCCTAGGCAGAAAGCCGTTTTGGTCTTCTCCGATCCAATCTACTAAAAATTCTTTGAATCTGTCCGCCATGATACTCGCAAAAATTTTGTAGTCTATGTTTAACAATGAGATTGGGCGGTAATTTTTAATTTCACCTGCATCTGTTCCTTCTTTATGGATCAATGTGATATCCGCCACTTTCCATGATTCTGGAATTTCCCGGTCAGTAAGGACTTTGTTCATAATTTTTTGTAATATGGGTGAGATTTCTTCTTGTGTTACTTTATAATATGCGGCGGAGAAGCCGTCCGGCCCTGGTGCTTTGTTATTTTTCAGATTGTTGATTGCCTTCTTAATTTCTGTTTGAGTGATTGGTTTATTTAGTTTTTCTCTCTGTGCTTCTGAGATTTTTTCCAATTTCTGATCACTTAAATATTTCACGATTTTTTCTATGTCGGTGTTGTCTTCTTTGAACAGTTTTTGATAAAATCCTTGAAATGCCTCCAGAATATCTTTTTCTTTAGTTATTATCTGCCCATTAATATTAATTTTATTTATACCTAGCTCGTTTTTCTTCTTCCTCAATTTTCTTGCTAACCATCGTCCTATTTTATTAGCGTTTTCAAAAGATGTTTGTTTAAGATATTTTAAATGTTTTGCCATTTTTTCTATCTCCAAACTGTGTTTTTCTTTCTTAAGAAGAGTCAATTCGTTAACGAGTTCTTGTTTCCCTGGATCTTTTTTCAGCTCGGTTTCTTTTTTGTATATTTCATTCTCCACATTAGTTATTTTTTGATTTTTGAGCTTGTTTCTTATTGTGTTGTGTTGGATTAATAAACCTCTCATCACGGCTTTGTATGCGTCCCAAACCGTTTGTATCTTTACCTCATTTGTGTCATTTGTTTCGAAAAATTCACGTGATCTTTTCTTATATTTATTAATGTCCTCTTGTGTTTTTATTAGGTTCTCATTTAACCTCCATCTCCTTACTGGTCTCCTTACTATCTCCTTGATCAGTTCTTTATAATCAAGACTCATGTCCATTTATTGAGAAGAAGATTTACCTCAGAAGAAGGTGGCTGAAGATATTGGAAGAAAGGATCCTGGTTTATTTATTTATTTATTTATTTACTTCATTTGTTGACCGCCGTTCTCAGCCCTAGGGCGACTCACGGCGGTGTACAACATGTAAAAACAGTTTACAATAAGGCAAAACACAGAGAAATAACAGTATAACTATCAATGTATAACAATAATATAACTACACTAAATCATCCGCGCCGTCTCATCATAGAATCGTAAACCAATCTCGTAATCCGTATTCCGTTCCAGTCGTCATTGCCAATTGTCGTAGCACTTAGTTAAACGCCTTCTCAAATAACCATGTCTTTAGGCTCTTGCGGAATGACATAAGGGAGGGCGCCTGTCTGATGTCTACAGGGAGG